GACCATCTGGGGGCTTTTAGATTCCAAAAATTTTCTGGTACGCTCCGCGCCAACCAATGGTGGCGCTCCGCTTAGATAGTCCTGCCGGCACTAAAACCATCCTGGGCAGAACCCTGATGTTCCCTTGAGCCACATGTATGATTAAGATTCTGGGCATCCACTGCAAGAGGGGACAGGAGAGAGCAAGTTTTAACATGGAAACGAACAATCCTTTGGTGGGCACTCACTTCATTATTTATGTGTGTTTGGCGCTGGGCGCACTGTCTATTTGCAGCCAATTTACATGCATGTTGGAATGTACATGTACACAGGTACGTCTTTGCATAGGCTGTGCACCAGCCACATACTTGAGCTTAGTTGAAAATTGCCCACCAGACTGTGTCTCTTTTGCCAGTGAGGGATAGGATGTGATGGTAGTGGTTCTGGTAGTGATGTGCTTGATTGTGGTTTTGATTCTGATTGAAAAGTGTGGGTCTTGTTCCAGTGGAGTACTACAAATCTGATAAGGTTTTCTGTACTTGCTGTTGGGCCAAGACATTCTTACGTTCCCAAAATAAAATATGCATTCTACATTTAATGTTTAATGGGCCACAGAAGAGTGCCGCCGTGCCATTTCAGTTATCATCGGACACTCTTGAGCACTTTTTTCTGTAGAATACACAAGTTTAGGCACATACAGCTGAAAGGTGGCCATGTATCCATCCTTGATGGCAGAAGTGTGAGGCCTTGCTTTGATCAGTGGATAAACCAATATACTGTGTGATGTAGAAGGGAAAAAAATGAAGAGGATTTATACAGTACACATAGGATACATACTAGAATGGATAACATAAACTCACTAGATTGAGTTTGTGATGGGGATACTGTGGCATTCTAACTTCTGATGTTTTAATCAACGTGAATAAAATTTTACTGAGAAACCACAAGTTATTTCAAGTACTCCTACCGGTATGTTCAATATCTCATGCAATTGTCGTACTTGAAACTTTCAGTATCTTCTGGCATTGATGTGCTTTGTCTTTTTTTCCTTCTAATCCTTAAAGATGCTCAAACAGCTCGTCCAAGTCGAAACAGGAGGAAATCAGTGAAACTAGCAGAAGCAGAGAGTAGTGTGAAAACACCCAACACAGAACCACAAAGACTTGGTGTTATCTCTCTTCATCATGAGAAAGGTGGAAAGAAAGATTCTGGAGATTCATGGAGGATCACATCTTCCAATAAGCCAAGGAAGAAGTCAGCTTTTGAATCTCAAGATAAAGATAACGAAGTAGAAGAGAAGAGTCAATTGCTTCATGTTGTTAGTAAAGGCAAACGACAGCAGACAATTAAAATCAAACCTCTTCACAAACCAGAACCAACAGATGAGAAACCAACCCCATCAAGGTCAGGAAAGAAGTCTCATCAGAAGGTTCCACCCCCCATCACAGCTACAGGGGACTCAAATGTGACTGTCAAGGAGGATAGCGGAATTAAACTGAAATTTATTTTGTCTCCAAAAGATAAAGGTAAAAATATTCCTGAGGTGGAAGCTAGTGAAGGATCTAAAGAAAGACAATCAGCATCCAGGGAAAAATCAGGAAAATCCTCAATGAAGGATAAAGACGAACATGTGAAAGCAAAGCTTGTATTCAGTGATCAAGTGCTCAAATTAGATGGGGATAAGGCTGTGGTAGGACAAACTAAGAAACGGAAACATGGAGAGACAGAATTAGAAATGTTGGACACGCCAGATACAAGCAAAGGAAACAAGAAGAAAAAGACATCTACTGAAGAACAGGCAGTCTCGAAACAAGCTGGAAAATTAACACCAGGAAGTAAAGTGGGTTCAAAACTTAATACTAAAGCCATGTCTTCCAATAAAGCAACGAGTAAGGGAAACTCAAAACTTTCCCAGAAACCTCCTGATAAATCAGGACAGGAAAAGACTGATAACAAAGGCCGTACAAAGAACAAGACACCTGATGAAACAAACAGTCAATCTGGCAATATATCCAAAGATGAGGATAAGTCAAAGAAGAAGAAGCCCAAGGCTAATACAATAGCAGCTAACTTCAATCTACTATCAGCTGATGAGTCAATTGAGGATCTAGTGATCGATGAATCAAAATCAGAATCTTCTAAGAAAGCTAAGTCTAGCAAGACAAAGTCGGACAAGAAGAAGAAATCAAGTGAATTGGACTCCTTCCATAAAAGCAAAAAGCACAAGAGCAAAGACATGAAGAAACACAAAGCAAAGTTCATCAACACAGGTACCAAGAAACCAGGTCACAGTGTAGGTCTAGATCCAGTCACTGCTTCACATATGCTTGGTCAGTTTGACAGTGTCCCTCCCCATCCTCAACCCAGTCTGGATCTCAAGGGACCAGGACTTGATGATGAGAGTTTTTTTATGGCTGGCAATGATGCGATGGTTCCTGCATTGTCAGCAGACACTGTTACCATGGGACTTACTGAACTGGGCTTCCCAGGCATGTTTGGAAAGATGAAAAAGAATGGCAAGAAGTCTAGTAAGAAAGCTGATAAAGAAAAGAAGAAAAAGAAGAAGAAAGAAAAACTGAAGAAAGATGGGAAATCTAAGGTAATTTTCCCTTGTCTCCTGTCCGCTCCCCCCCCCCCGAGCTCATAATTCAGAAATTATTTCAGACATAATTTGTAAAGATGGCCTTAAAAATCTTAGGGCATGAGCAATTTGTCCCAAGAGGCTTCTTTCATCAACCTGTGCATGATGTACATGTTTAAAGGTTCATCCATCATCCCCCATCTGCAGTACCACACTCAGAAAAGGCGTTAAGATGCCTCGAGAAGAAAAAACAATATTCTCAGATTTTTAAAGCTTTCCTTCAAATCGTACAGTTATTCAGAAAATTGACCATTTAGGTATTTTAGTCATTTCCTTGACCTACCCTTGACTTCTGAAATTCGTACATATTTCACCCTATCTCATTCAAATCCTTTTAGAAGCTGCAGTGCATCTCCTGTTTTTTTTTTTTAAGTTAACTTTGCTTGGCTACTGCACAATTTGTCTCGAAGAGTGTTTTGCATTAAGTCTAAATTAATTCAAAAGATAGTGAAAAAAACTCTTTTTTCACAGGAGAAGAAGCCCTTATCAGCATACATGTTATGGTGTGGTCAAACAAGACGTAAAGTAGTAGCGCAGAATCCAGGGCTGGGTGAGTAAGACTTGTCTCATCCTTGCTTTGAAATAAAAATTTATATTTTTATTAGGAAATATAGCTGAAATGTTTTTTGAAGCCGCAATCTTCAGTCTGCTACCGGAGGAAAATTTGTTTAAATTAACACATTATATTCCTTCCAGATCATAAAACCTCCATTCAATGGCAGATTCTTTGAGGTAGTTCTGAAGTTACACCTTTCTCATTTATATACAACCTCATTCTCAAATCTGTACAGATTTCTCTGGCATCAGTAGGATGATGGGGACACTGTGGCAACAACTCCCTGAGAAGGAGAAGCAAGTCTGGTACCGCAAGCAGCATCTTCAGAACATTAAACACAAGAATGTGCCCAGCTTGTCAAAGCAGAAATTCCGTCGATCAAGTTCATCGGGTAAAGGTTCACGTTCTCCTCATGGGAGTCCAGTCAGACATTTCTCTCCAAGGACCGAACCAATTGACTGTGCAGCACACTTCAAACTTCTTGGAGAGTCTTTAAAATTAGTTGGAGACCGACTACAAAACCATGTTGTAAGTACAAACTAAAAGTGTGGCTTTTCCAAAACTAAGTGGTTTCTTCGTTAAAGATGTACGTTTTTGCTTTCTAAGAGGGAATATATGGGTGTACTTCTCACTGGATATACTAATAGATTTTTGTATTTCATTCACAGAATGCAAAAGGTTTTTCTTCGAATGACCTCAAAATCGTAGATAGCCAGTTTATGGTTGTATATGTAAGATAACTTAACATGTTTTGAGTGCAAGGAATTGGTTCCTGTTCTTTTTAAGGTGAGACAAGTATGTACTGAATTTTAGCTGTAAGAATAAAATCTAGATTTCATTTGACCTTTGACTTACGGTCTTTGCAGGGTCAGATGGAAGTTCATGGGAGTCTGTCTGTTCTCTTGGATTCAACATTATGTGTCCTGGGTCCTCTAATGTCTCTTACCAGTCAGGTGCCAGAGTTGAACTGCATCAGTAAGGAATCAATAGTAAGTACATTGTACTGTGTGTGATAGAACCTGCAATCTGATTCTGCAGTGTTCAACCCAAAGGATTGCTGTCCTGTTTCAAATTTGAGAGAGTTTTTGTTTTTGTCCCCGACATATTTCTGCCAACAAAGTACAATTTATAATGTGTTAAAGTGTGTATCTTCTACAACATTTTAAGGTTCTTCTCATTCCTTGAAGACAAAAAGGAAGGTCAACATAAACACTGGAGCAACAAACTTTGTTTCAGTTATCTTGATGTTTGCTTGGGTTGCATCTTAAATGATATATTTGACACTTTCCTCTACTTGTTGCTGAAGATTGGGCTAAATTTTAATGCCAGCTAATACTTAATCATGCAGTCTCTACTGCCTTTAATATTTGATAACTGTTTTTGATCAAAGCCCTTGACGTCCAAGTTGACATGTAAAGCCAGACTGATCAGTTGGTAGTACCTGAAAATCACATGCTTCTCAACTTCAGCTTTCAATTTTCACCCTGAAATTGATTCATTAACTTTGTCACTTTCCTAAGCAGTTTACCCGGTGGTTTGCTTATTACACAGAGCACAACAGTGGACAACATAGCCTACATCATGCCTGGCTTGGGATGATGACCACATATTACAATGGTAGCATAGGTCATCTCTCTACAGACAAGGCAAAGCAGATCAAGAACATGTCGAATAAAGCCATAGGAAGAGTATTCCAGAGCTGCATTATGCTTAGTGTGGGTTGAATATGCAGATTACAATGGCAATTTAAGTGATTGCTCACAGGTAAAGCAGGTGTCAGGCAAAGCCACAGTGGCTGTCTCATTAACTACTCACTTGGACCATGCACCGTTGCCTGGAGAAGCAAGCAGTTGTCAAAGTGCATGTATGTCTACAGGTTGATCAGGCTGGCCTTGAATTAGTGCACACACTAAAGAGCGGACAGGTTGTATGTGACCATATAAAACCTATGACACTTCCATGCTGGTTCTAGTGGGAACTATTTCACAATGACAACAGTTGGTATTCCAATTGGAAATCTCTAAGCATAATGCATTACACAACACTCTTACAAATACTAGCTTCTGTGAAGTGTGATATTCTGAAACTTCAAGTGAGACCTCTTACATTTGTATAGTTTGAACTTCAGATTTCCTATATGTATTGGACTGGAATTATGCACAGATTTTAAAATGTAAGATTGCCAAGTTTTGCAGTTTGGATATTTGGTATAAACTTGTTTTAATCATGCTTTGGAAGTTGAAACATTCAACTGAAAAGTTGTTTGCGGTCTTTTTATGTCATTTTTAGTCATCAATTTAGAATCACTGTTTTTATTCTTTGCAGAAAGCATGATAAACTGTTACATTGGGGGTAGATTTTAAGTGGAAATGTTCATTGGATCGTTTCCAAAATACATGTATGCTGACATATCTGATCAGTACCAAAAAAGGGTGATCAGAGAAAGTGGCTGGCCAGAGATAAGTGGAGCCAAAAATGCATTACAAAAAAATGCAAAAACTTCCAGAACTTCCCAATGTTGCTTGCACATTGTGTGTTTACTTTTGAAATGTTGGGACAGTTTTTGAAACCAAAGTCCTGTTTTGTTCAGAATTCAGACAGAACAAATTCACACCGGTTTCTACTGTAGATGCTTTTTCAGTAAACTTTCACTAAGATGTAATTTAAAGAAATTATATTCGTAGGCCTTTGGGGTCAAAAACTTGCAGAGAAGCACTTTTGTTGAGGTTTTGAAGCAGTGGTCAAGACCACTGTAGTGTGAAATAGAGAAGTGGTTGTAAACATCGTTTGCCAGAGAATTTCATGAAATCCGTGGGAATAGAAACATGAAATTATGATACTACCTGTACATGTAGTTATGGTGAAATTATGGTGCCATAAAGATCAATGGCCATGGTTACTCCAGTGGGAAAGAGAACAAAGTGGGGGCTAGACGGTTAAATGTATTTACTGTTATTTTTCTTCCAACTTTGTAAACTGATTGCCCTTGAATCTAGCACTTTATGGCTATGCATGCCCAGGTCAAAACAGTTTTCAGTGTGTAATACTACCTGTAATGTTGGAATGCCTTCAATAAAAAAAAGGTTTCTGATATTGTATCCCGGCAAGAGTAGTATGTATTTATGTAACAAAGGCATTTTGGCATGAGCATAAAGGAATCCTTGCATTATGAAAACGGCGACAAGCTTGCTCTGTAGATGAGGTCAACACTGCGACTGGGTCCAAAATTCTTTAAGTAACACAAAATCTGACAGTGCAGCCTTATCTGCAGCATTGCACGTCTCGTGGACATGGAAAGACTCCTTTCAGTTCTGCACACTGCCACAGACTCACAGTATTAAACGTAATGTTCTAGATGACAGTCCTCACACAGATGTGCATTTGCCTTTGTTTACTGTCACATCATTGCTTACAGTTAAGATTCCTGTAATGTGCCCCGTTTTGGTGGTAGTGAACTCAGCTCACATATACACATGTGCACAATCAATTTTCATGCAATTCTAATGTACTTTTATTTCCTAGTCTATATTTAAAAACTTCCAACTACATGTGTATCTTTTAACAGAAATATTGTATATAAAAGTCTCAGATTTGCTGAATGTCAGTACTTTGTGTTGTATTACATTTTTTCTTTTTTTTCACATTTCTGTTTGGTTCTGCTTTGTTTTTAATATGTGTGTGCATGGAATTGGTTTTCAAGATATGAACACCCACGACAATTGTATGTCTTTGTTTACAAATTTCAAATTTTCATATTTCAGTTCAAACAACTTAACATATTTCAAACAGTAATGATAATCCCTTGCCTTTTTAACTATCCTTTTGAAGCTATCCCCTTGGAAAGTTGAAACAGTAAAATTAAACCTTGCATATTTTTAAATGACAAGCTAGCCCCATGCAAAATTTTAAGAAGAGTAACCCTTATCAAATTTTATTTAATCTTAAAATTAGCTGCTTGAAAAAAATATGAACAGTGAGATTTACCCTTTGTCAGTCTTTATTTAAATGGTAAAGTTACACCCTTACAAAATTTAAACAAGAGGGTTAATTCCTATCAATTTTTGTGTTTTCTTTAATACAATGTCTACGTGTATAAACATAAAGCTAGTCCCTTGTCAAATCTTTGAAAAAGTATTCTCTTTGCCGAATGTTGTGTAAACAAGGGGATTAGCCTTTGCTAAAGTTTAAACCTTGCCAATTGAAGTTCATTTCGAGTATCCCTGGTCAGATTCTAAGTTGAACAATTTTCGTTCACTGAATGAGGTTAACCACTTGTCAAAATTTAGTTCAAGCAGCACGATTAATCTCTTTTCCAATACTCGTGGTAAGATTAACCCCTGGCCAAATTTTAGTTAAACAATATTATTCCTTGCCTAATTTTTATTCAAGTAAATCTTAATTTAAACAGCAACAGTAACCCCTTCTCAAATTCGGTTTGAAAAAGTCAGGTAAGGCCCTATTCATTTTGAGAATACAGTTCAGAACCAGTTTGGCCACAAAGAATCATCAGAACGATTTACATCTAAGAAAAATTATCAAGGCAAGCAGGCACATACATGTATAAGTAAACTTTATTCAAATATTTCATAAAATTTAATTGTTCATGCAACTTATGAATACAATATTGCGCATTTTATTGCATACAATTATTCAAACCATCGCTGATAATTTTTTCAATGATGCAAACCAGTTGAAATTTTGACGATCAATGAATGTGTGTGATTGAAATGATATAAGATTAACCACTTGCCAAATTACATACAGGTATCATGCAAACTTGTATTACTATTGAAAATTACCCCCAAAACTGCAAGTAATAACCCTGAAATTTAAAATGAAATAGTTACAAGAAAATAAGGTTTTACCGTCTGTCAAGAGCCTGTGTACATATAATGTAAATTCCTCTCTTATAATTTGATTTTGATAACCATTTCATCCAAACATTTAAAAGTTTCCTTCTAAATGTACAAAATTTGGCCAATTATAATTCAACATATTATATATTTGTTGAAAATTTCAAGGAATAATATTTCATATTTTGTAAACACTGCTCTTAAAACTAGTATGAGGATAACCACTTGTCAATTAATTTACCCACTGCAAAATTGTTGTGGCAAAATTTCACTTAAAACTAATGAACAAATAATGTTATTAACAATGAATGTCCCTCATGAGAGTTCTACCAGTTTAGAACATACATGCGATTGGTATTAATTGACTACATACCCTGCTTCTGAATGCACACTTCAAACGAATGCCAAACATATCTTCTGGAATTGTAAGAGTAATTAAAATGAATTTATAATAAGCTCTCAAATAATAATACAAAAAATTTCACAAATCTCCATCTGTTAACTGTTACAAGGCCCTCTCTGTGAAAACATACAGGTAGGAATAACCTTTACCAAATAAGGGAATAAACCTTGACAAATCAAATAGAAATAAATTACAAGATAGATGTTACTATTATAGTAAGTTATAAAGCATCAAATTTGTAACTGTTTGACATGGCATATTATACTACAACAAATGTCTTGTGGTTATACTCACTAAATTGTGCCACTGTAGTAAACTAGTATGACAGTACTGTATAATTTCTGGAATGGATAGTGTAATAATACAAAAGTTACAACTACCAGCAGAGTTCCTAGACCTAAATGACAAAAACACCGCCCCATGTCACAAAAAATAAACTCCAACCAAACAGGTACATGTGGGAGAAGAAATCTACCGTAACTTCTGGAAGGTGAAGTAACATAGTGAATAAGTAACACTTTATTTGCGGACTAATAAATATATTTTACCTTAGCACCCTGCCTATATACCAAGAATATCACATCCATGTAACAAAAGTATAGTACAGCATAGAATCAAAGTCTGGTTAAATATTTGCTGGCTAATTAATCCAGGTGGACAGTTTAAGTTTGCACCTGTTGAAAAAAGTAATTTATATATTTGGCTGACTAGAAATATAAGCAAGACTTCTGGTACTCTACAAAATGACCTCTTCATCCTGTCTATGACTCCAACTTTAATTTAAAAAAACATTAAAATGTCCCCAAATTAATTTTGACCAAAATGATGAACAACTGTAATAAGCTACACAGAAAAAGAGTCATATCATTCAAAACGTGACAGAATTTGTTCCAGCTAGAACAGGCAGCATATGAATTTCTTTAACATTAATTCTGAAGAACATTTCTGTTCAGTCACATGTCATGTACATTAAAGACACTCTGACATCATCAATGAAAATCAAACAAATACAATTCTGATTCAATTTAAGTATCCTTGCAATGGATGACCTTTGTGGAAGCCACGAATGGCAGCCCAATTACATATCGATTCCCTTTTATTGATGTTATCGTGGTTTGTCGGTTAACTGTTGAACACCAATATTTTTTTTTCTGGAAATTTCAGATGGGGTGGTTATTCTAACTTACGCTTAGTAAAAATTGGCCCAGGGTATCTTTTAACAGATACGTGGCTCAAGGCTTGACATTGCTTTCTTTGTATTGCATCATCAAAAATCATATCTTTGAAAATCAGGATTACAACATAATAAAATGGCCTCAAAAATTGAAAACATATTTACATGCAAATGGTCATATCTCCAAAATACAAGCACTTAGTAGTTTAGCTCCAGTCAAACATACGGTGCCCTGCTGAGTCATCAATTTGATTTAATAGATGCACAGGTGCACATGTGTGCCTATAGGCTTGAGGAAGAGTTCTACCCCTGAATCAGCAACTGACTATGATGCACATGCCATTATAATGATCAAGGAAATGCACCTCAAGGGAAAACAGACATGATGAGTGGAACAATGTTATGGTCCTTGGGACTTAACAAATTGCCTTGTTATAATACATGTAGTTACCTTGTATCAGTAATGGAAAAAAGGAAAAAAACAAACATTTGGGATCTGATATTATGAAAAGAATGTGTGCACTCTTGTTTTGGATTAGAAATATAGCTACATGTAGCTCTCTCATGCTTTGCAAATAAAAAAGCAGTCAAAAACTGGTATGGCCTTAAACAAGTAATTTACAATTTTGCATGACAGTCAGCCTGTAATGGCAACCTGTAGGCAGCTTGTAAATTATAACCTCATTTCAATCATTTCAACACTGTAAACCTACCAAGAATGTTATCACAAGGATTACTAACCAAATAGAAAAACAATCATAGTGCTTTGGGCTCCAGCTGTCATCTTAAGATTATCCCATCATGCCCAAGGGAAAAACAGGGCATCTAAGTAATGCCACAAGATGCAATGCATCCTTCTAAATGGCAGGATCACTGTCAAGTGTGGGAATGTCTCAGCAAATTTAAAAGCTCGCCAAGTCAATGTATAAATAACAATGTAAGCAATTTCTGACCGATGGAATAGGGCCACTCAGGACAATGCATGAAAATTGTACACCAGATCATATGTTATATATAAATCAAGATAATGGATAACATCACCAAGAAATCCCCAGATACATGAAATTGAGGCATATCTGTGACAAGGTCATGATGTTTACCTATAAGATACATGTAACTTCTTGTCTGACAATGAAATATAAAAAAAATTCACTTTGTAATCTAGGTTGGGCATTTTTCATGAAAAACAACTTAGATCTCATGTTCAAAGTACAATGAAGCAGGCAAAGTACATGTACAAGCCAAGTTTTAAGTCAATTTTGAAGTTGTGATGTATGTAGATGTGCATTTTTCAGTGGTAAATTACGGTATATGTATTCCTATAAATGAAAGCGTACCCATTCACAGAACTGACAAGGTCGTTGTACTGACACTTGTTTATGGAAATTCGATCAGAGAACATAGAACAAATACTTGGACCAAAACCTTCGTTAGTGACCTCTACATTTATCAAACATCACATTTCTTTATACTGTAACTGAAGACTCAAAGGAGACATTTACTTGTCAGACACAGAACGAATGCACATACAATTTCTTCGCTGGTTCATGACGAACATTACAAAATTCAGTCAACCACACATTTTGGAAGGAAGGAAAATGAAAAAGTCCCACAACACAATCAGACAAAACAGAAATGGTAACATCCCTCCAAACAAAATATTGTCAAATTGTCTGCAGGGATCACTCATACATAATGGGAATTCAAACAGAAACTTCAAGACAGATGAATATGCACTAGTTTGATCACTGTCTGTGCAGAAGTGAGGGCTTATCAAGCTAGTTCAAGGCTTTGCAAAATATCTCAAGCACTCACAGTGGCTGAAGATGCTACTGTGGTTGTATCCCGTAGTGATGGCATCCTATGGTGCAATCTCATAGTGGTGGCTTCTCATAGTGGCTCAAGATGCTTTCATGGTTGCAGCTCATAATGGTGACACCCCAGTGGTAGCAATCCAGAGTGGTGGAATCCCATAGTGGCTCAAGATGCTACCATGGTTGTAGTCCATAGTGGTGGCACCCCAGAGTGGTGGCATCCCACAGCGGTGGCATTCCACAGTGGTGGCTTCTCATGGTGGCTCAAGATGCTACCATAGTTGCAGCTATAATGGTGGCACCCCAGTGGTAGCAATCCAGAGTGGTGGAATCCTGTAGTGGCTCAAGATGCTACCATGGTTGTAGTCCATAGTGGTGGCACCCCAGAGTGGTGGCATCCCACAGCGGTGGCATTCAACAGTGGTGGCTTCTCATGGTGGCTCAAGATGCTACCATAGTTGCAGCTCATAATGGTGGCACCCCAGTGGTAGCAATCCAGAGTGGTGGAATCCCGTAGTGGCTCAAGATGCTACCATGGTTGTAGTCCATAGTGGTGGCACCCCAGAGTGGTGGCATCCCACAGCGGTGGCATTCCACAGCAGTGGCATTCCACAGTGGCTCAGATGCTAATACGAGAATAGTACTTATCTGTCTTTTACCCCGACTTCTCAGTGCACATCAGCTATCATCCTATCCACAGCTCCCCAGTCTATATTACTCAAGACACTGCCACTGCTAACAGATGCTATTTCTTCCAGTTCTTTGATATCTACTGACACTGCGTAATCGTCATACTCCAAACCTGCGATGCTGATATCATCATCTGTTGATCTGCCCGCATCCCCCTGCAATAAACATCAGCCAGTAAATTATTAATTATTCACATGTTCCTGTGGTGAGTAAATAACACTTTTGGCACTGCAAGGAACTACATGGTAGTGTAGAACACATGCAATGCTTTGTAAGCCAAACCCAAGCAGAAAACTGGTTAATGCATGGGGTAAGAACCTAGTTAATAACCTAATTCACTTGGGGAACAAGATGGGACTCCAACCACGATCATGAAAGGTGATAGACCACACAAAATCACAAGCGCATGTCATTCTAGTTTCAGTTTCTAAATCTGACACAAACTCCAATCTGCTTGTGTTGCATTTGTTTGTGTGCTAAACATCTCCACAGTAACACATTGCCACCTGTGATTTCCATGACACGTGGAGAGGTGACCAAAAAATCAACTAAAATGTTACAGCATCACATGCTCACCTCCAGGCTGTCCTGTCTCTGTAGAATATTCTTGACATCATCAGAAACGTTCCAGGAGCTCAGGTCACTCAACCCTGACTTTTCATCCATCTCGTCAACTGCTGATGACCTTTGACGTTGCTTAGGATACGGCTGATGTCTGGTTGTTGGGGAGTATAGCCGTGGTGATTTGTACGTTTCTTTTTGAGGAGGACCAACTGTATGAAAACAAAGGATTTGATCTTAAAATCACCTCTATATTCAAAGGTTCCCACAAGACCCTGGATATAGAGAAGCAGGTAAAGATGAGGGCCCAGGCAGGGCTCAACATCGATCTTAAAATTAACCAATAAGAACTTGTCTTTGCTCTTGTATTACAAGGATGTACCATGACTTGATTAAATAATACAAATTAATGACGTAAGTTTACCATCTTCCACTTACTGCATGACAAAGACCAGGCATAATGCTTCCTGAGTATATTCCTTACCATACACATTTTTATGCTTGTGAGTCCGCGGTGCGTCTGAGCTGAGTCTTTGTAATCGCTCAACATATGTTGTAGGTTCTCTATCTCTAGGCTTGTATCTCACGCCCACTTTAGGAGCGGGGCTGACAACATCATCTGTAATGCAAATTTTATGCAAAGATTAACAAGACATATTTCAAATATTTCAAACTCCTTTGCCACAAGGAAACTATTTCGAAGGAGATAACTGAGTCTGGAATGAAAATCAAGAAGTTTTTAGCGGTGATATTAAACACATTTTGAAGCTCCAGGTTTCTTTCTTGTTCTTGATGGGAAGTAAATGTTCTCCTTAAATTTAATTTTTTTTTGCCAAGCATTCACAACTATATGCAAAATTATTTACAAATGTACAGTTCAAAGACTTTTCAAATGCGGTACTTGTAGAAAAAGCAATGGTATTGTCTCCAGAAGGGGGGCTTGAAAAAATTAATATTCAATCCATTTCAATAAATCTTGACAGAAAACTGAAACAAATCAAATAAATCAATATTGATTGATTGAAACAAATGAGAGAACGTGAAATATCAGTGAAATATTGTTGATTTCTGAATACCTACCTCGACCCATGAATGTGCCAGATAATGACTGTGTGCCAAGTTGTTCGTGATACGGTGTTGAGGACCTTGGAGTCTGCTCTGGATGAAGACCACGCCCTTCAACTTGCTGCCGACGATAAGGACCATCAT